AAATCTGTTAACTTTTTTTTTTTCAGTGGCCTTAATCCTCTTCCATATCTCTGGGTGCTCAGCACCCCTAAACATCAGGTCCTAGAATCGCCCCAGGTGGAATGAATTCATATATAAATCAGGCGCTTTGATGCCTAATATGCGCCCGGTCAAATTGCAGCTTGAGCAGTAAATCCAGCAGAAGATGCCTCTTTCATGGAGCATGCCACACTTTTCAGGTTGCCCTCCCAGTGACGCTCATAGTTTACTGGGAAAATGTGACTGAATCGATACTTTGTTGTTTTTTGCAGGACTCCAATGTAAAGACGGACTACGGGCCCCTGCTTCACACCCTGGCAGAGTTCGGGTGGCTGCTCACCTGCGTTCTGCCCACGCCCATCATCCGCCATGACAGGTAGATACGACGTCTTTAATCAGCTCGTCTCAGGAACTCCTTCCCGTTAACGTTTTCTTCTCCTTATCCTGACGCCGCGGCGGGAGCAGTGAAGGGAATCTGGCCACAAAGCAGGTGGTGTTCCTCCAGAGGCCGGTCAGGAGCTCCAGGCATCCAGGGAACCAGGTGAGACCAGGCTAAGGTTCTCTGCAGCGTCCCAGCAGGAGTTTATGGCAGTCAGTAAGATCATTAAAGGATCAGCTGGGACTGGGATGCCTCTATGCTGCCCCCTGGTGGACAGAACTGCACCTGAAGCCACTCAGTCAGAAGCTGAGACCGAGAAGAAACAATAAAATATGGTGGATCTCCTGCTGAGCCATCAAACTGATGTTTGGTGAGAAATATTAATAGAGAACCAGCTTCTTTTTCTGCAGCTCTGCAGCTCAGCAGCTGCTGTCCATCCTGAGGCAGAGTCACACAGAAAACAAAAAGTAACTCCAGATACACAAAATGACCAAAGAACATCATTAAACATGAAACTGCAGATGGAGAATCAAAGCTCTTCCATCCAGAGAACAGGCAGCTAACATTACCGTCACAACTACGGCAAGACGTTTGTATACATATTCACCACTCCACCGCATTCACTCACACAGATCTCACTAATTATGCTTTTTACCTGCTGCCGCTACAGCTGATTGATTCATTGATTTACCAATAAATCAAATCTTTTGTTTACAAACATTTAAGTTTTTTTTTGAATAGCTGGATTTTTTGTTTTATTTCCAAAAAAATAAAAAGACCCTCCTTTGGCTTCATAGCTCAGAGTGAAAAAAACGTCATCACTTCCTGTTTTTAGATGCATATCCATAGCCGATAAACTAAGTCAGTGTTTAAAACCACAGCTGCAAACACAAAGAACCTAAAAACATGTTTATTCGCACAGAGCAGATCTGATTGGAGTTTGCAGTCCAGCAGGCAGAGCGTGCAAACATTGGTTAGCTTATTTCCCTTCATCAGGATGCAGATCATACTCTAATGACCAAACTGGGTGGAGGAAAGGTAAACATTTAGCACATGCAAAGCGATGTTCTAAACCGAAATCTCAAATGCAGCTGCAGACAGGCTACCTATGTGATCTATAAGTATCATTTAGCATCTGCATGTCTTAGAAACTCATCTTTCTTTGACGGTTTCTCTCAAACTTCCTGTAACACTGAGCAGAACCTACTTAACATCTGTGCAGGAGTCTTTTTTTTTTTTCATGTCTTTGAACATCTTCTATTTAGTATACTTACACACACATCGCGCCAAACAGTGGCAGACAAGCGGATCAAGTTGTGCATATAAATAAATAAATAATATAAATAAATACACAGGAAACAAACAAACCCCCTCCCCGCCCAGAAAAAAAAATGAATAAATAAAACAAAAACAAAAACTGCAGTGCCCACATACCATGTAGTTAATTTCATAAGCATTAAGGCTGCTTTAGTCAGCCATACAGAGTCAAACATAATTAAATGACAACTTCTCCACAAATTCAATAGAGGGCACTGCAAAAAAAAAAAAAAAAAGAAATTTAACCCTTTGTATTACGCACACAGCCAAGGTTGCCTGTGCATTCCCCCAATTATTACATATTTGGTGTGGATCTAGGAACCTTTGGCAAGCTCTTGTTTCCATTACAACTGGTTCCTAACGCTGTGTGTTATCAATGATGGTCATAAATGTGTTCAAAAAAAACAACTGTATTGTCTTATTTCAAGTGTATATTATCTAATTATCTTCCACCAAGCAGCTGGAAGAGTTTTCAGGAGTCGTTGAACCAGTGGAGCTAATCTCTAAATGCTCAGACAGGAGGAAGATGTTTTTCTTCCTCAGTTTTCCCTGTTTTCTTTATTTCACAAAATGAAAACATTTCTTTAGAGGAAATATTAAAATCATTTCATTCATAAAAAAAGTTGCAGCCTAAACCTTCTAAGCTTCAGGAGTCTTTTCAAACTCTAAACGTGTTTCAGCTTTAATAAGCAGCTAAAGGATTTTTAAAAAAGACACGCCCTCTTCACTTAAAAAAAGAAATGCATGTGCGAGAGCGTGCACGAGCCCGTTTCTCCTCGTGTACGCACTGTTTAAAATGTGCTGTTCTGATAGCTCATACAAGCTTTCTGTGTCCACATTTGCCCGGTGGGCAGTAATTCAATGTTAGCTCCCTAAATGATGCATGCAGTATATATAGCCCTTCCTTTATTCACATCCTTGTGACGGTTGGCATATGGTGTCATTTTCTATTTCTTCAAACTGTAAAATCTTTGCAGCAAACTAAATTATAATAACATTAAAATGCTTTCTTTAAACCAAACTACAATGTTCCTCTTATATTTTGCAAATTTATGTTTGAATATTTTGCTGTGCATGATGGGGTTTTCCATCTAAAGGCTAAAGTTTCCTAGCCTTGGTGCCATTCCGAACTTAGTCCCGCCCACAACGTTTGAGGTCGGGAAGTTCGGTCGGGCATTGCTCCACAGTGGCGTGAGTAGAAACCCATAAAACCTGGCGGGCCAATCAAATTGTCAGGGCGGGCTTTATACGATGAT